TATACCATGTAAGTAATTTAAATGTATTATTTTGCAATATCCAAATATAGTTTTGCTGAGGATATTGAAAGCAGATGATGTAAATCATGATGCATCATATCACATTAGAAATGTAGTTGCAAATCTCTGAGTTGTCAAGTGGGCCAAGCAGCACTTTATTGGTTAACTGCTCCATAAAAAAGGAAAATAATAGAGATGCACCAATATTTATAGGCCAATATTTATAGCCAACAGTTAGGGCCGACATATCCTGTCAATCAAAAGAGGGCAGGAAAAAACAATGAATTTGTGCTTTATGTAAAGAAAATGTTAAGAAAACAGTTTGATGTTCAATTAGTAGTAATTATATTAATTAATAAGATTCAGAAACTTTAGAAATATTAATTTATTCTTCAGATTTTAGTTAATGTGACTTGATATTAATTTCAGTAACCTGCTTATGTCTATAACTAATACCAGTTACTCTAAAAATGTATTTGCTATTTGCAAATTCTATTTGCATTTCTTTCAAAATTGTGTAATTAATTATCATTAATTTAAAACATTGGTCTCAATTCCTGGAGGGCCACAGCTCTACCAAAGTCCCTTTCAAGGAAAGTCTGTTCACTCAGCCACCATATTTGCAACACCTATTTCGGGCATCCAAGACCACATTACTAGACACTCGTGAGTGTGCGGGATGCGGGAGAATAAAATGATTCACGGGACTCCCTTAAAATAGAAATATCTAAACATAAAATATCTAAAACAAATAAATTGTTATACATCCATTGCACAAAAGCAACAAGAACTAATATAAACGATTAGCAGGCATAAGCATAGGCTGGGTTTCTATTTAGGCTATAACACGTGTTTTGCAGCCTTGAGCAATGTTGATTTCTGGAACGCAGTGGCCAGTCAGGAGTGCAGTGCTGAAATTTGCGTGCTCACGAATCCTCTCATTATAATAACACAAATTGTAGACATGAAAGATTCATTATGCATATATTCATTGTGTTACAGAGATTTGTGAGATTGCGTAGAACTAATATGTCTTTTAGAGATTATAAATGCAGCATTCTTTGCTGGCATTCTGCCATGCATGCAGCAGCCGCTTGCTTTAGTTTTGTGAATGTTGATGCTTTAATAACAAATATTTATCTGGAGCGTTTATGCTGCGATTTCATAAATTTCATTGATGTAGTCACAGAAAAAAGTAACGTAACTAGTAATGTAACTAATTACTTTTAAAATAAAGTAATCAGAACAGTAACATGATTACTTTTAAAAGGAGTAATCAGTAATTTAATTACATTTTCAGAATAACTTGCCCAACACTGTCCAAGACCAAGTCCTATCTATTTGAATGGGGGAATCGTGAAATCTGAAAAACTGCTTGCTGAAGTCACAATTAAATAACATATTTCAAATCAGCAACAAAATCTGACACGAACTGTCCCATAAAAGTTGTTTCCTATACTCAAATAGCGTTTAAAACGTTTATTTTTCAGGCGGGACTAGCTGATGCGCATGTGCAGTCCTAAGCACGAGTCTCGGGTTTCTATGGGAACCGTAGCTTCTACGGCAGCTGCAGTGACGCGATGACTATAGCAATCAGTGATTGGCTCTTGCATTTAGAAGGCGGGATTATTCCGCCATGTTGCGCGTTGCAGTTTCTCCCATTCATAAGTACAGGAGTGAACCGTCTTTGTATATCTATTGTCTTTGGCTCTGCACAGTTTAGCTCCAACCCTAATTAAACACACCTGATCCAGCTAATCAAGTTCTTTAGGATTACTAGAAACTTCCAAGCAAGTGTGAGTTGGAGCTGGTTGGAGCTAAACTGCGTAGAGCTGCGGCCCTCCAGGAATTGAGTTTGAGACCACTGATTTAAAAGAAAGTATAAAAGGCAAAACCACCAAACTACCGGTGTCGTTAACGGTATCGGCAGATATCACTCTGAATAATCGTATATCGTTCTCAGTGGAGAAATTTACTATCGGTACTATCTCTAGAAAATAATCAATACATTAATTTAAATTGTTACATTGGTTTATGGCCCATGTTTGTACAATGCCTCATTGATTATTCATCTTCTCTCATCTTTAGAATTGCTTAATTTTGCCCCCACAGACAGCTATTTGATCTTTATGTTGGCTGAAGCTTTTTAACAGGATATGTCTTCACAACTGAAACAGTTTATTAAGCAATAAATCCCAGAGGACTGACCTAGGTATCAAAAACATTGTAGACAGATGTCACAATAGTTTTGCAATAAATTGACTTGTATAATACAAGTGCTGTGTTTTTATGTAGTTTAACTTCTATGCATATAAATATGAGGAATTAAAGGCTGAAATTCTAAACTCTCTTGCATTATGCATATTTTGATCTCAAAACAAAATATAATTGCACATGATGACTCGACTTTAGTGTTTCAATAGTTTTGGACAATCTATTTCTGCCCCTGGTCTCCTCTGTGTATTGTAGTGAAATGGATGGTAATTCCCGGACGAGGAGGAGGAGAATCAAAGTCAGAGTGCAGCAGCATTTATTGAGTCTTGCAATGGAGGCTATAGAGCAGGCAGATCAGACTGTGAACCAGGAAGTGCAAAATATCAAAGAAGATGTGAAGGACAATGCTGAGGAAGCTGAAAATCTGGATTTTGATGTCGATACTGAAGTTGATGACTTGTATATGGTTAGTGATCCTGATGAAGATTTTTGCTCTGATAATCCTGAAGAGGACCCCCATAATGATGCTAAAAGGAAACTGGCTGAATGGGCAGCTAACCGAAATGTGTCTCATTCTGCACTTTCAGAACTATTAGGTATACTTCTGGAGCTAGGACTGGATTTACCAAAGGATCCCAGAACTCTCCTGAGTACACTGAAAGAATGTGATGTGAAAGAAATGGGTCAGGGTAGCTACTACCATTTTGGCCTTACAAGTGCAATCATTTCAGAATTGAAAATTACAAGCGAGAGTGAACTGACAACAGATACACTGACTGTTCGTGTGAATGTTGATGGATTACCTCTTTCTAGGAGCTCTAATATGCAGTTGTGGCCTATATTAGGTAAAATAGTTGAATTACCAAAATCAAATGTGTTTATAATAGGTGTCTATGCAGGTCCCTGTAAACCTGAATCTGTAAATGACTACATGCATGATTTTATAGAAGACTTAAAAGTTGTCACAGCAGTTGGTGTAACTTTTAATGGTAAACATTACAATGTACCACTGCCGGATGCTTTTATCTGTGACACTCCTGCAAGAGCCTTTTTAAAATGTATCAAAGGTCATGGTGGCTACAGTTCTTGTGAGCGTTGCACACAGTATGGCATTTATCTTGATGGCAAAGTTGTGTTTCCTGACATGGATTCCAGCCCAAGGACAGATATTCAGTTTGATCAAATGTCTGATGAAGACCACCATCGATCTAAATCACCTCTCCATGGCCTAGGCATTGGCATGGTTTCCAGTTTTCCTTTGGACTATATGCATTTAGTTTGCTTAGGCATTGTCCGTAAATTAATTGCTCTGTGGTTTAAGGGACCATTGCATTGTCGGGTTTCGTCTTCTGCTCTATCCGCTATCTCTGATCACTTGAAACTGTGTAGGCAATGCTTACCTCGGAACTTCTCCAGAAAGCCACGTTCTCTGACTGAGTACAGCCAATGGAAGGCTACAGAATTCAGACAGTTTTTATTATATACAGGACCTGTTGTGCTTTTTCAAAGACTGCCCCGTCAACAGTACAAAAACTTTCTTATTTTGTCATCTGCTATGAGAATACTTCTGTCTCCTATGTGTAGACAATACTATGGGTATGGGCAAAAATTATTAAGATGTTTTGTTACCAACTTTGCGAAGATATATGGGACAAAATTTCTGGCAAACAATACACACAGTCTTTTCTTTACATCATCTGCTAAATAGTACGGCCCTCTGGACTCAGTTTCATGTTTTCCATTCGAGAATTTTTTGGGACAGATGACAAAAATGGTGAGAAGGCCACAGAATCCTGTGCAACAAATTGTCAGGCGTATTCATGAAAGACAGTTGTTTGCTCACATACCTGAAGAAATGCCAGAAGATGCTAAACTGACACAGCGTCATGAATCTGGACCAGTGCTGGCAGAATTTTTCATGTACGATCAATACAAGATGTACAAAGACAAAGACACAATAATCTCAAACTCAGCTGGCACCAATTGTTTTGAACTTGAGGGAAGAGTTGGGATTGTGCGGAACATTGTGCATTCAACTGCAGGAACACGTGTGGTGTATGAACTTTTTGAGACAGGGACATCTTTTTTCAGCTACCCTATTGATTCCACATCTCTGGGAGTCCGTTTGCTTTCCATATTGTCTGGTCAGCTTTCCAGTGCTCCAGTAAAAGTCTTCACTAAACCAATGATTTTATTGCCTCTTGAGAGAATGTTTGTGGCTTTGCCTCAGCTACACACCACATAACTCATTGAACTTTGCAGGGTCTCCTCGTTTAGTGTTGTGGAATTTTTGGACGAAGTCGATACGGATGGCTGTAAGAAGATGGATATAATTCCAGTAGAATGGTTTAAGGGCACAGACAGAAAGTTATGCTGGTGGCCACCAGGCTCACTGGCCAACATAACCAAGGTGGTGAAAGAGCACACATCACCAGCCAGCAACTGGATAGTGTGCAATGTGCGTGAAATGGGAAATGCAGGTAACTGATTTTCCTCCTTTAATAAATAGAATAAATACTGTTATACTTTACTCACTTAAATTAGTTATTTGACCCTTGAACTCTTTATTTTTGTGTTAATTTATTTACATCTTGAGAAGAAATTACATAAAGGGCTGGTATAACTATAGGTTTTCAGTCTTGCCAAGTAGGATCACACCTGACCTGACACAGCTGAATCAAATCAGATGTGCTCTTGCTAGGTAGAAAAGAAAACCTGCAATCACAATAATACTATGCAGATAAGATATGCCATCTGATTTCTAGGCATATGCATATATTCTGCAACCAATATATATTTTGTGGTTAAAATTCTTTAGCAAATTTCAAAACTAGCCTTTCTGTGTATCATTGTGTTTTACAGCCACTTATTCCAAAGCCAGGGCTAAACTCCACCAAGCTGAATATTCATCAGACTTGACAGATACAGAAAATATCTCAAGAAAAATAAGGTTGGTGTTTGTGGAGCAATGCAGGCCAAATTCCATGCCTGCTAGAAATAATAAGAAATAGGGGTGGGTGATACAGCTAAACAATTTATCACAATATAATGTTTCGTGTCATTCGGTATCGATAACTTAGAGCTGCACAGTTCTGAATAAATTGAAAAACACCTATTTGTTTGCTGTGATCACGATTCTGAACTATTACTACAGGCTCTGACAAAATATTATTGATGCAATGTAATTTCACATTTGCAATTAATGTAAATTAATTGTTAAAAAAAAAATCAGTTTGAATGTATGGTTCAATGATTCGCTCATAAATACTTTTGTTTCATTACTGGATGAATCAGTGTATTTGAAAGAATCTGTTGAATGAAGATTCAATTTCAAAAAAAAAATTTTTAAACAGTCACCAGTCACCTGGTGGTGAAACAATGTAATCAATAAATGGTTATTTTAAGTGCCAAATTTCTTTCAAAATCTGATTTGCTCTATTTTAATTTTTAATTTTAATTTATTTTAAACCAAGAAACTGCCACACTGACGAGCTGACATGTCCTTTTTTTATTCACAGTCTCCTTGTTGCCGGCAGGTACTGTACGCCGTTTCATGTGTTTGTGTGTTCTGATTTCACATGCTGATTGTGTGACCCAACACAGCAACACAACTTTTTGGCTTTTCACTCGTAGTACTCGCCTTCTTCAAGGCATTTGATAGATTGTTTGTGATGCAGGGATGGTGCACGATTAAGGGTTGTAAATACAACCAAACTTCGTGTCTGTTTAAAATTTAGTGCATGTAAGTGAAACTGTATTGAGTTATATCAAACATTTTTTCTATTGTTATCGATGAAGGCAGATCGTCAATAAATATCGATACTGTTTTATCGCCCATGCCCAATATAAAAACAGAAGGTAAGGTGGGCCTTATATGTTTGTGTTAATTTCTGTAGGCCAAGTGCAAAACTTCTCCAGAGTCAACTGAGCACTCAGTTGGAATCAAGTGAGCATTCAGACTCTTCAGAGGAGCTTCCACCCACTCCACCAAACCAACTCCTTTGGCCAGCAAAGAAAGTGAGCAACTACTTTCAGAACCCCACTGACCAACATGTTGCCAGCTATACTCCCCTACGTAACACCAGTCATGCTGCCCAACAAGGTGCCAGCACCACAAACCGAGGCATTACCAGCCCCATAGCCACAGTTACCAGCCCTAGAGACCAAGGAGTTACCACCCCAACAGCCACAGTTACCAGCCCCACAGCCCGAGGAGTTAGCAGCTCCACAGCCCGTAGAGCTACCAGCCCCACAGCCACAGTTACCAGCCCCAGAGACCAAGGAGTTACCAGCGCAACACCCCGAGGAGTTAGCAGCTCCATAGCCCGTAGAGCTACCAGCCCCACAGCCACAGTTACCAGCCCCAGAGACCAAGGAGTTACCAGCGCAACACCCCGAGGAGTTAGCAGCTCCATAGCCCGTAGAGCTACCAGCCCCACAGCCACAATTACCAGCCCTACTTGTGAAGCCATGTTCACTAAGCTTTTGACAATCTTAGAAGAAGTGAAGGAGACACAACGTGTTCATGGTAAGATGTTGAATGCCCTGCTGAAAAAGCAAGACGGATCAGTGGTAGAGGTTCCTGAAGGAGTGGCTTTACCTCTGAAAACCCAGTCTGACCTTGAGGCTCTTGATCAGAAGTTGGGGGATCGTAGTGTCATGTCTGCTGTTGTAAGTTTACTTTATTTTATCATTACTATTATCTTTAATTATTTATTTCTCCTCCTGGAACTCTTAAGTTAAAAAAACGAAGTTTATGTAAACCATTGGTTTCTCCTTTTGGCTCTCATCCTTAGGTTACCATGGTGGCAGATGTAGGTGGCACAAGTGTAGATGATACAACAAGAAGAATGATGAAATACATCTTATCAAATGAGCTGGCATTGGAGTACAATTTCTTTGGTCGTCATGGGAAAAAAAAGTTTAAAGATTTGCGTCTTTTCAACATTGTGTATGGTAAGTATGACTTAAGTTGTTAATACTGTGATCTTAAATTTGATGGAAACACTTTACAATACGATTCCATTAGTTAATGCATTAGCTAACAATGAGCAATACTTTTGTTAGTTAATATTATTACTCTAGTTAAGCTAGTAGTTTCTGCTGGCGTATAGAAGTACTTAACGTAAGCTTTTAGTAATAAATGAAAAACAAACTTTTTTTGCTGATCCGAAAAATGATCTGATCCGTGAATCAAAATCTGTATTATGATCTGAACCGTGAGTTTTGTGATCCGTTGCACCACTAATATGTATGTACCAAGAGCTCCTGTAAAACCACAAATTCACACTTGGCAAATAAAGCTGATTCTGATTCTGATAGAATTTGCTTACATGTTTCACTTTTTGTAAGAAAACACCCCTACAACAACTGAAACTAAACAGTAGTGTTTTACTCTAGGATTACATAAAAATGTCATTTTAACATCAGTGTAATCATTTTAACATCAGTTTAGGAACTGAATAATAAAAAATAAAAATAAAACACTGCTTAGTCTTCACTCTATGAATTAAATATGCACTAATTCTTATTAAAGCTACAAAAGTTACTCAGTCAAGAACAGTGAGTGATTTTCTCTTTGTCTTTTGTTAATGGCCCCAAATATGGCAAGCTGTAGCGATATGCATATTGTGATATGTACATTTGCGATATTTCAATAATTGCACAGCCCTACTGCAGACAGTATGTCCGCTGTTACAGAATGATTACTTATTGAATTCCCATTGAAATGTTTCCTCCCGGCATCACAGATGGTCATGCCTACTTAAAAAGGGTTAATTCACCCAAAAATGAAATTTCAGTCATTAATCACTCACCCTCTTGTTGTTCCAAACCCGTAAGACCTTCGTTCATCTTCGGAACACAAATTAAGATATTTTTTATGAAATCTGAGACGATTCCCCCCTCCATAGACAGCAATGCAACTGACACTTTCAAGTCCCAGATAGGTAGAAAAGACATAGTTAAAATAGTCCATGTGACTCCAGTGGTTCAATCTTAATTTTATGAAGCGACAATAATACTTTTGTGCACCAAAAGAACAAAATTAACAGCTTTATTCAACAATGTATTTCAGTATTCCTTGGCAGCGTGGTGGTATTCTCGTTCACAAGAGCACATTGTTGAATAAAGTGTTTTTTTTTTTTGCACAAAAGTATTCTCGTCAAAATATCTTAATTTGTGTTCCAAAGATGAATGACGGACTTATGAGTTTAAAACAACATGAGAGGTGAGTGATTAATGACTGAAATTTAATTTTTGGGTGAACTAACCCTTTAATCCTGTAACGGGCATGTGCAGAAAGGTTGGGGGTGGGGGGCTTTGGGGGCTCGAGCCGGTGCCCTTTTTCAAAATTAACCCTTAAAATGGCAATACCAAAAACTTAGAATTTTCATTTTCCATCTTCTTAGGACACAAATAATAAAATGTTATGATTTTATTTTTATTTTTTTCAAAAACATGACTTTTATTTTTGATTTAATTGTTTGTATCCCCCAGGATATGTTGCCACTTTGGGGGTATAAATTCACTGTAAAAAGAAGGCTTGTTTGGCAATAACAAAATTTTGGCCAAAGTTTTAAAACATTTATTCTCTTATAACTTACTGTAAACTAAACATTTCGTTTTTTTCTGCAGTTGAAGAAAGTAGCCTAAATTATGTCAGTGATTTCTCTCATTTTAAAGAAAATTTAAAAAATATTTTTTTCCGGTCTGCAGTCTGATAAAAGTTAAGAAAATTAGCCTATAGATCTATAGCCTACAGGCTAATTTCATTCTTTCTTAACTTTTAACTTCTTAAAATTTGATATGAAGAATTTTAAATCAACTTCATAACAAATAGGCTAGGCTAATGAATTTTCGTCATAAGCAATATACGAACATAACGAATAACCTAGCTATTCTATAAAACAAAATTTTCATAAAAAATCATAAATCACGAATATGATTAAATAAAATTATTATATACATATATATATATATATATATATATATATAGTTTTATGTAAAATGGATAAGGAAATTGCAGTGCCTTGAATTCATTAAGTAACATTTTATTTCATTCTAACCTGTAACTCGACAAATGTAACAAAAAAAATCTTAATCGTAATTTTATTTATTGTTTGACTAAACATTTAAAAATAACGCTAGAAATGTTATAATTAAGGGAATTAAACATAGGCCTAGTCATTTGAAAATATATAATGAAATGTGTCTTTTTCAAGCAATAATTCCAAAAAGAGAAGCATCGAACTTAATGCAAAACATATTCAAGACACATTGCTGTGACATTTATTAGGAACACCAAAATAGCAGGAAAGCTATGTTTTTTTTGTTATATTAAGCACAAACTAAGAAAAGTAAAACAAACCTTAACATTTCAATAGCTAAAAGCACTGTGTTGTCCGCAGTGTTGTATTTGGTGGGGCGGGAGCAGCTGTGGGAGCGCGCTGTTTTTGTGAATTTTTTTTTTTTGTGTGGTTCGGCAGAATTTGTCCAGTAGTGACGCGCCAGTCGTTAAGTGTGTAGACTGACTCAGTCATTAGGTGTGTGCTCCTCTCTGACTGTCAAAGTATCTGCTCCAGTCGATGGTGACGGTCTTTTAGTGTTGAGGTCAGAATGTTTCTGCTAGTCCTGTAGTGTGGTCCCAGCCAGTTGGATAGCATCTGTGTATGCAGGGTATGCAGGTGCAAATCATTTGTTTTTTCCTGGGTTAAAATGGTTTTTGGTGGTGGCTGACAGTCATCCATACACACAGTAAAATGTTCCCTACCCACGTGATCCCAATACTAACAATAAGTTTAAAATATGGGGGGGCGCTGTTTTTTTGTTTTTTTTTTTTTTTTTTTTTTGGTTCGGTAGAATTTGTCCAGTCGTGATGCGCCAGTCGTTAAGTGTGTAGACTGACTCAGTCATTAGGTGTGTGCTCCTCTCTGACTGTCAAAGTATCTGCTCCAGTCGATGGTGACGGTCTTTTAGTGTTGAGGTCAGAATGTTTCTGCTAGTCCTGTAGTGTGGTCCCAGCCAGTTGGATAGCATCTGTGTATGCAGGGTATGCAGGTGCAAATCATTTGTTTTTTCCTGGGTTAAAATGGTTTTTGGTGGTGGCTGACAGTCATCCATACACACAGTAAAATGTTCCCTACCCACGTGATCCCAATACTAACAATAAGTTTAAAATAAATACAAAGAAACCGTTTGTGATTTTTGCTTATCCTATTTATTCATTAAATAAAAAACAATCACTGTCAGGACAGATAATAAAACAACTTGCTTACAACTACTTATGTAAACATTACCATTACCAAAGTAGTTAGAAAAAAAAGAATTGGTCATTTATTACACTTGGTTGCTCATTTTATTTATTTATTTATTTATTTGGCCAAATTTTCTTCCAGACTGTGACTGAGAATTAGGCTTCTCTCACTGTCATCCTTTCTTGGCCTCTTTGCAAAAAAAAGCTGTGATTTTTCCACTGGCCTTCTAGCTTTGTAAGATAAGATGCTTTTTTTGCTAGACCTGATAATTATTTTGGAAAATAATTATTAAAGAGTACCATTTAAAAAGTAGCCTTAAAAATGTATTTAACTAATAGTATAATTTTCTACCATATACAATTGAATAAAATTAGCAGCTAGATAACAGCAACTTGCTTTGTGCTTTGGTCTGGTTTCACTAGTCTAAACTAAATGATTTTATAGGTAATTTACTACACATTGTCATATAAATAACATGAAAATACTGTGATTTATTAAGGCTAAATCTTACTAACCACTCTTGCTAAATGGGGTAAACACACTTACGATCTCATTTTCTGAGTAAATGATTTGTTATAAACCGATTCAGACAGTGATGTCTCGTGAGAATCCGTGTATCATTCGATCATTCGTTTTTTTATTTAATATTGAAAGTAGAAAAATTAGAAAATGGCTCCTTTTTCATTTTTTTTGTTTTTTTTTTCATAAAACGAAAAATGAGAATTCAGCTTAAATATTCATTTTTCGTTCATGGGTGGAAAAATGAATAAACAGCTTGAATATTTGATTTCTACATGTGGGCGGGAATTAAACGCCCCTTTCTGCTGATTGGTCAGCCGAAGATCAAACCGTGCCATCATCAGTTCTTCTGCAGTATCACGCAGCAGAATAATAGTCCTCAGCTGCTGCAGTTGTACGGATTAATAACCCATTTTATCAATTTCATATTTTTCTCATCAAACAGACTAATGAATAGCTCGACACAACTCGTACAGGGGCAGAGTCTAGACAGGGCTTTCTTCTGTGTAGACCAGCAGTTCTTAAAGTGATCGGGGGTCCAAGAAATAATATAGCCTTAATATTGCTATAGCCTAAAGTATTTCCAGACTGTAAAGTCACTTTTTTTATCATGATACATAGGCCTACTGTGATTTATTCCAAAGTGACTTATATGATGCATTTAATGTAAAATAATCTAAATGAAGCCTTTTAAAAGACGAGTATTCCCTGTGGTTCATGTTTGTGGCATGCGCCAGAAAGAGGCTCAGCTGATGCAAAGAATAGAATTTATAGCTACACAGAAGAAAACCCTGTCTAGAAAATGACGAGTTGTGTCGAGCTATTCATTTGACTGTTTGTTTGATGAAAAAAAGATTAAATGTAGTTGCAATAAATGCGTTAAGAATCCATACAACTGCAGCAGTGGAGGACTATTATTATGCTGCAGAAGAACTGATGACGGCACGGTTTGATCTTCAGCTGACCAATCAGCAGAAAGGGGCGTTTAATTCCCGCCCACATGTAGAAATCAAATATTCAAGCTATTTATTCATTTCTCTACCCATGAAAGAAAGACGAAAATTTAAGCTGAATTCTTATTTCTCGCTTTTTGGAAAAAAATGAAAAAACGAAAAAGGAGCTGTTTTCTAATTTTTCTACTTTCAATATTAAATCAAAAAACGAATGATACACGGATTCGTGAGTTCAGTGTTGGACAGATCACTTGTTTTAACCATTAAATAAAATGAATGGTTCAAAGGAGTCGTTAGTTCGCGAATCTGACATTAGCGCACATGGTGTGTGGTAATCCCGGCTGTTAGGACATTGCAAAAATTTGTGTCAACACACAAAACGCTTCATCACTGCACAGGATTTTTATTCGTTAACTGAAAGTGTGGTTTACCTCAGCTGCACGTGTGGAACGCTTCTCAGAGAGGATAAGGTGACATGTTTTTTGAGCACAACTCACACCCAGCTGTAATTCAGGGGGGAAAAATTCCCCGAATGCGCCACATGAAACAAGTATTCGGTCTTCCGTCCTTTTTGTAACCGGAAGTGTAAGAGACGCGCTGAACACGAGATGAGAGCGATACAAAAGGGGTTAAAAAGGTTTATATTGTAATAATTCATTTAATGTGGTTATAAGCAACTTTATAATACTTTATGGTTGATGATTATAAATCGTTTTAGAATGATGATTGCTGATTTAAGCTGATGAAGTGGGTGTTTATCAAGCTGTGAAACTCGGGATTTGGTAAGTTTATGTTTTTTTTTTTTTGAAAGATGTATTTTGTTACTATGCATATCATTATGCATGTTGTAAAGATTGTTTGAATATTTTCTGATTGTTAATATGATTTATTTTGGAATGTTGAGTGATATATTCTGCTTAGCAATTAATGAATATTAATTTCCATATTCTCAATATGCCTGTAAAATAACACGTTCAATATGAAAGTGGATATGGATGTTTAAACACTCAGTTTAAAGAGAAAATGATATAGAGATAATTTTGAATGTTAATGACACTGTTTTGTTAAAAGTCATGTTTATTGGTTGAGTTGAGAACCTCTCTCATGGATTTAAGATGGCAGGCCACCAAGAAAAAAATTGAATGCTGATTTCTGAAACTGGGAAAAAGACACTTTTGCTGCATTACAAGGATTCTTTAAATTCTTCAACTTTCTTCAATTGGGAGGACATTCTCTTTTGTTCGGGTACTTCTTTGAACTGGTAGGATTTAACTGATTTTGCACTCACCCACTGGATTTCTTACAGGACTTTCTGGAAGATATTCAAAGACAATTCAGACAAAGAGTTCTAATGAGTATTGTTTATTGAATGTTATTGAATGTGAGTCGGATGTAAATTTTGGATTTATTTTTATTTGAACATTTTAGTTGTCAAGAAGTTCCAATTTGGTTGAATTTTGGGTATATAACATTGTATCTTGTTTAAGGGTTAATTTGGTTTGTCTAAACGGTATAGAAATGAATAACGCTAAAAGCAAAATAGAATAAGAACCCTAAACTCAAAAAGTCAAAGTCTTACTAAAATCTGCGTACACAGAGATAGCGTAGATAAATTATATTAAATTGTTTAAGAAAAACATGGAGAGAAAACAAATCTTAAAAAATAAGAAGAAAGCCAAAGACAACAGAGAATTCATATTTTGTGTATAATTTTATTTTTATTATTGTTGTTGTTGTTTCAAATTTAGTTTCATGCCATTCAGGTGACTGTTCAATTATAATATATATTATTTGAGTATCTTCCTCTAGTGCTGTGTTCAAAATATCGATACAACGATGTATCGTCACAGAGTTTTGATGATACGAGTATCGATACAGCTGGCCCTGTATCGATATTGTGGCACGTGTGCAGCAGTGGACCACGCTTAATTTTACAGTTTAAAATTGAGTAGAAAAGTGCGAGGTTTCTAAAAAAGAGTATAGAGTATATGTTGTAGCCTATATATGAATAGAGCATATATAGGCTACAACAAGGTTTAAACTGGCTGCAGAGGAACACAACTGGGTTGCCTGATATAAAGAGACGTAATCCCCGAAACAGAGCTTTACACTTGCGCAATACGGAAATATCTGCTAAATGTGCTACTTATCTTTGTCAACCTGGCAACCATGTGCACGCACGTTCTCTCTCCACTGTGGATAAATGCGCTTGCTTTCTGAAAACACCGGTTAGCTTGCCGTTTAGCGATCTCCACTTCAATATTCTAGTCTCAGAAAAGTGTAATTCTCCAACTGTTCATTTACGACACACAGAGAGAGAAAGAGAGGCTGTGTATGTATGAATTACCACCGTTTGCCGCGTTTCTCTATTAACAGTGGCTTTAATCCCTTTAGAAACAATGATGCTACCAGCTCCTTGTTGAGAAAGATAATGTAGCTCTTGAGTGATTAAGCTATTTAGTTGATAAAACTGCAGGGCAGCGTTAAAAAGTTTGTTCCTGAATGTCTGAGTGCGGCCGCAACGTGATCTGTGTGTGTGACTGAACTTAACATCAAACTGCTTCTGTTTCACACAAATGCTGGCACAGACGTACATGTTCGGCTAGAGTTGCTTTGAACTCGTGCATCTTCGGAAGCGGAGCTGCACGGAAAGTTACAAAAAATGTTGTGCACACCGCCACGCGAAACGACGTTGCACGCACTCAAAGCGACCTTCCGCCAACACCGCGATGACGTCATATTTGCCGCGCGCACCTAAGCGAACTTGCGGAAATATATTCGAATACAATACATTACAATATGAATTTATTAGAACGAGTACATTATTATTTATGGGCTTAAAAACAAGATGCAAAAATATATATGAAAATATCTGAATATTGTACCTGGTGTGGAGTGCCCAATGTAAACATGAAACATATGCCATTACCTATATTGTTCTGTGGTACAGTTATGGAGGCCATTCATAATGCAGAGATCAACTGCCTGCTTTGCCAATAATTAGAAATGGCACTATTGTATGCAGTGTTTAATAAACGGCTGTTTTACAAAATTCTGCTGAGGTGAAATTCAGTGCAGTCCTGTATCGTGATACGCATTGTATCGTGGCCTCTGTATCGTGATACGTATCGTATCGTGACTTTGCTGGTGATACACAGCCCAATCTTCCTCACATGACTTTGTGATTCATTTACTGCCAGTATTATTTCTGTTCTCCACTAACCTAGAAACTGGTCCATTGCTCCAGCTTATGTTGAGGGCACTTGTTACACAAAACTTGGCGAGCCAGCCAGGGGAACAGTGGTAGTAAATATCTTCTGAATGGGTTTCTGAAGTTCCTGAAAAGGAAAAAAAAATCAGATTATACAGACCTGAGCTTGCGTTAATTCACAGAAACATGGATATTGTTGAAACAGAAAATGTTAAAGTTGCGAACTCAGTGATAGTTTGTGGGTTAACTGACACTGAGCTTGATGAAGCGTTAGTTGACTTTCTAAATAAACATGGACGTGTTAGTAAACATCTGAGAGTAGATGGCCTTTTCATAGAGACTTTATTGTAGAGTATGAAAGCTGTTCTGCCCTTGTGATTCTTGAGCCTATGCTGCCATACACTTTCAGAAGCCCTCACAATGTCTCTTATGTCATATCACTTTTGTCAAGTGCTTACTTGCCAGCAGCAACCAAGCCTGTTACTTTGCTGAGCTGCAGAAATTAGCTACGATTAGTGGAAAGACTTCTGAGGAACTTCTGAGAGAACAGTTATCTTAAGCCACTACATCAAGTGCTGAAATTGCAACAGATGAGAATGAACCAAAGATTTCCTTGGGGAATGGCACTCCCACACATGATCCTCTTACCTCATTCAAGGGAGGGAAAAGCGCAGAAGCTTGTCAAAGCCCAGAGACTTTGAACGTTCAGTGGTCTTTGAAAAGAGAACGTCAGCTTTCAATGTGGCTGATGTAAACCCATCCGAAATCCAACGTGTGGTAGTTGAGCACCTAATAAAGAATGAGGGAATTCCACACATGCATGCACTTTCCAGACTTAGAGTGTTCTCTGGGAAAATTCCACGTCCGAGCACTGAAGTTGATTATGATGCTTGGAGAGGGAGTATTGAACTGATTCTCCAGGATCCTTCTCTTTCTGATTTGCACCGTTCCAGGAAAATATTAGACAGTTTGTTACCTCCAGCATTAGAAATTGTGAGACATTTGGGTGCAACAGCCCCACCTAATGCATACCTTGACATTCTGGATTCTGCATTCGATGCAGTCAAGGATGGGGACGATCTTTTTGCAAGATTATTGAACACATTGCAAAATGCAGGAGAAAAGCCCTCCTTGTATCTGCAGCGTTTACAAACAGCTCTCTTAAAAGCAATGAAAAGAGGTGCAGTTTCCAATGCTGAAGCTGATAAACAGCTCTTGAAACAGCTCTGCCGAGGCTGTTGGAATGACGCGTTAATAGCAAACCTTCAGCTTGAGGGTAAACGAGACAGTCCACCTTCATTCTCCAAAACTGCTATTGCAGTTGCGCAATAAAGAGAATCGACATTCTGCCAAAGAGAGCCGTAAGCATCTGAATGTGCATCGTCAAAAAGCCAGCTCCAATGTGGTATCCACAAGCTCTTTTGACTGGGAGCAGGGTGCAGCATTGGAGGGGAGTGAAATTGCAGACCTGAGACAGCAAGTCACAAAACTTCAAAGTCAGCTCAGAAAGCTAAAAAGACAGAGAAACATGTGCCACTGCAAAGTGATGATGTGCTTGAATTGAAGAAACAGATTGCAGAACTTCAGAGTCATTTCACAAAGCTAGGATCCCAGAAGCCTCTAAAGCAAGAAGAAGACTGTGAGACCAAACAGGCTTGCTCTAAGCCCACTGCTTCAGCTGTTGTGCAAAGTCCCAAGATAGACCTGAGCCAGGTTACTGTTACCGCTGTGGCGAAGATGGACATATCACATCTGGTTGCGAGAGCGATCCCAACCCACCTTTAGTGAACGAAAAATGGAAGCAGCTGAGAGAACGACAAAGTCTGTGGGACCGCCAGCAGTGCCCAGTGGTCTCAGAGTCTTTAAACTGGAATTAGCCCCTGTAGCGAGATGTACAAGGGCTACCGTATGCAAAACTAGTCTCAAAGCATCCACAGGAAGGAGTAGTTCTGAGTTTTCCCATAGTAGAAGTCCGTTGGCCAGCCTCCCAAAGGGGCTGATGGGGGCAAAGTGTACTGCTCAAGTATACATAGAAGGGAAACTATGTTCCTGCCTCTTGGACACCGGGTCGCAAGTGACGACAATCTCTCAATCCTATCATGAGCAAAACCTGCCTGAACTAAGTATAATCCCTTTGGAGAATCTTTTAGAAGTGGAGGCTGCGAATGGACAAGTAGTGCCCTATTTGGGGTATGTAGAAATGAGGGTCAAGTTTCCTGAAGATTTTCTTAGAAAAATTTTCTTGAAGAGTTGTTAGACTCCCCAGCGCTAATGCCGCTGTTGTTCCTGCAGGGCAGAATCTTGTCTTGGAGGGAGTTGTAAGTGTAAAGGGACAATTGACAGATAGGTGGGTAGTGATGGAACCCACCTCTCATTCTTTTGTTCCTGGAGGACTTTTAATCGCTAGCTGTCTTTTTAAATTACCTAAGCATCCATCCTGTAAAGTCCCTGTAGTGGTTAAAAATGAAACAGAGCATGATATCACCATTCCTGGAAAGAGTGTAATTGTGGATGTCCATGCCATACAGAGAGTAATTTCAAATAAGAGCGATCAGAAGGGAGACATGTCCTCAAAAGTAGAAGAGAAGTCTACAAAGGAACTCTGTTTTGACTTTGGCGACTCTCCATTACCTAAAGAATGGAAGGAGAGGATTACCCAGAAGTTACGGGACATGTCAGAAGTTTTTGCTGTACATGATTTTGATGTTGGACGAACTGACAAGGTTAAGCACAGCATCAAGCTACATGATAATACTCCTTTCAAGCACGGGGTCAGACCCATACATCCTGATGACTTTGAAGCGGTTCGTCAACATCTGGAAAAGTTGCTTGAGGCTGAAATCATCCAAGAATCAGAATCATCCTTTTCGTCACCCATTGTGGTTGTCAAAAAAAAATGGCGATGTGAGGCTGTGTATCGATTATTGTAAATTGAACACGCAGACCATAAAGGATGCTTACGCACTTCCAAATCTCGAGGAAGCCTTTTTCGGCACTCCGTGGATCTAAGTGGTTTTCAGTGCTTGATCTTAAATCTGGCTATAACCAGATTGAAGTGGAGGAAAAGGATGAGCCCAAAACTGCTTTTGTTTGTCTCCTGTGGTTTTGGGAGTTTAATTGTATGCCCCAGGGGATAACGAATGCTCCTAGCACATTTCAACGACTTATGGAGAAGTGTATAGGCGACATTAACCTCACTGATGTCCTGGTATTCTTGAAGGATTTGATCGTATTTTCTGAGACGTTAGAAGAACATGAAACCCGCCTTTTGCATGTCCTAAATCGCTTGAAAGAGTATGGACTGAAGCTTTCAGTAGAGAAATGTAAATTTCTCCAGACCTCTGTTAGGTATTTGGGACATATTGTCTCACAGAATGGCGTGGAAACTGAACCTCAGAAAATACAGACAAACAAAACCTGGCCAAGTCCCAAAACCCTCAAGGAATTACGTTCCTTCTTGGGGTTTTCTGGCTATTATCGCCGTTTCATCCGAGATTACGCCAAGATCGCAAAGCCACTAAATGACTTGACTGTCGGATACCCACCTCTCTGTAAGAACTGTAAAGGCAAGAACAAGAGTATGTCCTACCTGAGTCCCAAAATGCCTTTTGGAGGAAGATGGACACAAAGTTGTCAACATGCTTTACAACACTCCTAGAGAAACTCACCACAGCACCAGTGTTAGGATTTGCTGATGACCTCGCGTGGGCTTCGGGAGACCTGACCCCACCGGGGGCCCGACGGGAGCCCCCCAAAATCCGAGACCCCCAAATGCAGTACTGCCTTCCACCACCCGTCCCACTCTAGGAATATTGCAATGGGATTCTGGCCCATTCATATAGTCTAGGGGTGGATGCTTTCTCGATGATTTACAAGTAGGTAAAATTGCAAGTGGGACGTGTGTCCACTTGTCATTTAATGAATGGGATCACTATAATAGGTTAGTGGAAGGATTGTCCACTAACCACTTAAAATGTCCCCCATACAATAAATTGAGAGAAAGAAATCTGAGAATCCTGTGGCGAGCGCGCGCTTATATAACCAGATGCCCTGCCCATTCTGGCAGGCTTCATCGCCATTTGTTCGTTTTTTAAGCTCTGCACGAACCAATGGCCGTGCAGTTTCACTGCGTGAATGAAAAAAGGATTCAGTTCAGGAGAAAAAAGGCTTTTTCCCATATGCATCTTAAGTAGACGCAGTACGAGTGAAGTATCGAAAGGGAACCTTCTTTCTCTGTAAGAGAAAGTTGGTTTATGCAAAGTTTACAGTAAAACGTGCCCACATGAAAGATGTTTCTAACATGTGAAATGAAATAATGTTTGCCATGCAGAATGACAGATTTTAATGTGTTTGAAGCCATGCTTATGAAGATATGTTAGAGGTTCTATGCACAAGAATCTTAGTTTAGTGCCTCCGTGAACAGTAACACTATCTTGGTGCAACTAAGCAAAAGAAGAAAATGCAAGCCCACATATGCTGGAAACCTTCTTTCTCTGTATGAGAAAGTTGGTTTATGCAATAAGACTAAAGCTTGCCCAGATGAAAGATGTTTCTAACATGTGAAATGAAATGTTATTTGCAATGCAGAAAGACAGATTTTAATGTGTTAGGTGTTTTATACTCACAAAGTTATGTTAGAGCTTCTGAGCACAAGAAGCTTAGTTTAAAGTTTCTGTGAACAGTATCACTAATTTAAGTGGAACAAAGCAAATGAAGAGAATGCAAGCCCACAGATGCTGGAAACCTTCTTTCTCTGTATGAGAAAGTTGGTTTATGCAATTGCAAGACTAAAGCTTTCCTGTATGAAATAGGTTTCTCACATATGAAAGGAAATGCTATTTGCAGTGCAGAAAGACATATTTTCAAGTGTTATGAGTTTTATACTCATGAAGTTATGTTAGAGATTCTAAGCAAATAAAGAGAATGCAAGCCCACATATGCTGAAAACCTTTCTTCTCTGTAAGAGAAATTGGGTTCATGCAATGTTAACACTAAAGCTTCCCCAGATAAAAGATGTTTCTAACATGTGAAAAGAAATGTCATTTGTAATGCAGAAAGACAGATTTTAAAGTGTTAAGAATTTTATTCTCATGAAGTTATGCACGAGCTTTTATGCACAAGAATTTTTGATTAGTGCTTCTGTGAACAGTAACACGTTCCTTGTGCAACTAAGCAAATTAAGAGAATGCAAGCCCACATATGCTGAAAACCTTCTTTCACTGTAAGAGAAAGTTGGTTAAAGAAAAGTTTAGAGTAAAGCTTGCCCAAATGAAAGATGTTTCTAACATGTGAAAAGAAATGTCATTTGTAATGCAGAAAGACAGATTTTAAAGTGTTAAGAATTTTATTCTCATGAAGTTATGCACGAGCTTTTATGCACAAGAATTTTTGATTAGTGCTTCTGTGAACAGTAACACGTTCCTTGTGCAACTAAGCAAATTAAGAGAATGCAAGCCCACATATGCTGAAAACCTTCTTTCACTGTAAGAGAAAGTTGGTTAAAGAAAAGTTTAGAGTAAAGCTTGCCCAAATGAAAGATGTTTCTAACATGTGAAAAGAAATGTTATTTGCAATGCCGAAAGACTGATTTTAATCTGTCAGGAGTTTCATGCACGTAAAGTTATGTAAGAGCTTATATGAGCAAGAAGCTTAGTTTAGTGTTTCTGTGAAATGTAACACTTTATTAGTGCATCTAAGCAAATGAGGAGAATGCAAGCCCACATCTCCATAAAAACTTATTTCACTGTAAGAGAAAGTTGCTTGATGCAATGTTAACACTAAAGCTTACCCAGATAAAAGATGTTTCAAACATGTGAAAAGAAATGTTATTTGCAATGCCGAAAGACTGATTTTAATCTGTCAGGAGTTTCATGCACGTAAAGTTATGTAAGAGCTTATATGAGCAAGAAGCTTAGTTTAGTGTTTCTGTGAAATGTAACACTTTATTAGTGCATCTAAGCAAATGAGGAGAATGCAAGCCCACATCTCCATAAAAACTTATTTCACTGTAAGAGAAAGTTGCTTGATGCAATGTTAACACTAAAGCTTACCCAGATAAAAGATGTTTCAAACATGTGAAAGCAAATGTTATTTGCAATGCAGAAATACATATTTCATTGTGTCACGAGTTTCATGCTCATAATTTTATGTTCGAGGTTATATGAGCACGATGCTTAGTTTAGTTTTTCTGTGAAATGTAACACTTTTTTTACTTTTACTAAGCAAATGAAGAGAACGCAATCCCAGAGATGCTGAAAACCTTCCTTCTCTGCAAGAGAAAGTTGCTTGATGCAATGTTAACACTAAAGCTTACCCAGATAAAAGATGTTTCAAACATGTGAAAGCAAATGTTATTTGCAATGCAGAAATACAGATTTTAAAGTGTTAAGAATTTTATACTCATGAAGTAATGTACGAGCTTTTTTGAAGAAGAATCTTTGATTAGTGCTTCTGTGAACAGTAACACTGTCCTTGTGCAACTAAGCAAATATGGAGAATGCAAGCCCACAGGTGCTGAAAACTTTCCTTCTCTGTAGGAGAGTCGTTTAATGCAATGTTAAGACTAAAGCTTTTCCACATGAAAGATTTTCCAGACATTTATAAGGAAATGTTATTTGCAATGCTGAAAGACTAATTTTAATGTGTCAGGAGTTTCATGCTCATGAATTTATGTTCGAGCTTATATGAGCAAGATGCTTAGTTTAGTGTTTCTGTGAAATGTAACATTTTGTTTAGTGCAACTAAGCAAATGAAGAGAATACAAGCCCACATATGCTGAAAACCTTCCTTCTCTGTAAGAAAACGTTGGTTCATGCAATAAGACTAAAGGTTGTCCAGATGAAAGATGTTTCTAACATATATAAGGAAATGTTATTTGCAATGCTGAAAGACTAATTTTAATGTGTCAGGAATTTCATGCTCATAAATTTATGTTCAAGCTTATATTAGCAAGAAATGTCAACGTGATCTCATGATAATTCGTATGTATTTTACGTAAAATGTGGTTCTATAAAATGTACATTTACTTACGTTTTTACAGGCACTAAAACGTACAACTACTTACATATTTTCAGCATTTTAACGTACAAAACTGACGTACTGACGACACCTAAAAATGAATCCTTATGAATATTGAAATTGCGGCTTTAATTTTATTAGTTTTTAGTTGTCATATGAATTAACTTGTTTTCATTTGCATTATTAAATTGTTTAGTTATGAAATTACAACATTTCGTTTTGTTGTGATTTCTGCTGCCAGCTCGTTTCCAAGAACATGCCTACATAATGTTAAACACGACTTCACTTTAAACAAATAAAATTTTTGCAATCGTTTAACCTTTACTTGTCATTTAATGTTTACTTTGATTGTCATGGGCAACAAAAGGCGTTTTCTACACAAAAAACGCAACATAATTATGAAATGAAACAATTTTATTAGTGCGCCTCCATAATCCTTAAATGGAAGACGTTTAGGACGACCAGAACCCTTCCTAGAGCTGGCCGTCTGGCCAAACTGAGCTATCGGGGGAGAAGAGCCTTGGTGAGAGAGGTAAAGAAGAACCCAAAGATCACTGTGGCTGAGCTCCAGAGATGCAGTCGGGAGATGGGAGAAAGTTGTAGTGCTCCTTCACGAGTTCACGGAGTGGATCGGGAAAATTATCTAGATAATATTTTCAGCGATTAACAACATAAAATCTGCTCTGGATCACACAAACCTACTGTATTCCGCCAGAGAGGACTGCGGGTGCAGCGCATCATCATTTGGATTACTTTTAGTACTGCTTTTGACATTGTTGCAATAAATTATACTGTACAGAAATGTTTAGGCTTATAGGAAGGAGTGGAATTAGCGACTATAAATATATTTTAATGCTATATTGTTACTAAAAGTTTTATTTTCCTGCGTATTTCGGTCATTTGCATTTTATATCCTTTATATATCGCTATAAAATGGGTAGGTTAAGGTTTGGGGGTAGGTTAAGGGGTCTAAAAATCTAAATTGCGAATTAATAAAATGATAAAAATGCATATTCGCTATAAAAAGAGTAGGTTTAGGTTTGGAGATAGGTTTAGGGGTCTAAAAATCTAAATCCGTTATTGATAAAATGATAAAAATACATTGATATGAATATCTAAATTATATAAAAAGATACGTAAATATATTTGTTTTTTAGCTAAAAATACGTAGCGATTTGTACGTTTTAAATGTTGAAATACGTCTAAATTGTACGTTTTAGCATGATTAAAAACGTACAAAAGTGTACGTTTTGTGCTTGTAAATGTTACATATTAATACCTACGTATAAACATGAGACCAGGCTGTACATTTCACAGAAACACTAAACTAAGCTTCTTCTTCATATAAGCTCTAACAACTTTATGAGCATGAAACTCCTGACACAATTAAATATGTCTTTCTGCATTGCAAATAACGTTTCCTTTCACATTGTTAGAAACATCTTTCATTTGGGCAAGCTCTACTCTAAACTTTTCATTAACCAACTTTCTCTTACAGAGAAGGAAGGTTTTCAGGTCTGTGGGCTTGTATTTCTTTCATTTGCTTAGTTGCACTAAAAAAGTGTTACATTTCACAGAAACACTAAACTAAGCATCTTGCTCATATAAGCTCGAACAAATTTATGAGCATAAAACTCCTGACACATTAAAAGAGTCTTTCAGCATTGCAAATAACATTTCCTTATATATGTTAGAAACGTCTTTCATCTGGAAAAGCTTTAATCTTAACATTGCATTAACCATCTTTCTCCTACAGAGAAGGAAGGTTTTCAGCACCTGTGGGCTTGCAA